GATTATTACTATTGGAGTGGTAGAATGAAGTTATTCTTGAACTCACAAGATGTCGATCAACCAGAGGTAGTAGAAGAAGATTCATACGTACCATTGAAAACATTGGATATAGAAGTCACAATAGTTAAGCCAAAACAAGAATGGAATGCTAAAGAAAAATCAAGATGCTTGCTAAATGAAAAAGAAAAGTTCTATATGACTTTTGCTTTCAAGAAAAACTAAATATGACAAAGTCAAAGAATGCAACACAACAAAAGATATATGGGAAAATCTAAGAGTTGCACATGAAAGAACAAATCAAGTAAAAGAGAGCATGTATAACATATTTACTATTGTAATCAATGAACTAAGTGGTTTAGGGGATAAATACACAACCTATCAAAAGATTAAGAAAATCCCCATAAGTTTTCCAAAAATATATAACCAAAGATAACAGTTATACAAGAAGTAAAGGATCTCAAGATGCTTCAGATGGATGAACTAACAGGATCATCAAAAGTTCATGAACAAGAACTACAGAATGAAATTCGTCCTAACAAGGGAAAAACTAACTCTAAAAGAAACACAATGGGAAAATCACTATCTATAGAAGAAAAAGAGACAAAAGAATCTATTGTTGAAGAATCAGATGATGATGAGCTAGCTTTTTAATCAGAAAAGTATAAAGATTACTCAGAAGGAGAAAATGGATGAGAAAAAACTCTTTCAAAAAGTAACCACCAATTAGGGATACATCCAAAACCAAAATTAAGTGTTGTGAATGTAATAAACTAGGAAATTATAGATTAGAATGTTCACATCTCAAAAAGGATGATAAAAAAATCGAGAAGAAAGCTATGATGGTCATATGGGATGACTTAGACACTTCCCTTTTTGATAGAGATGATGAACAGATAATAAGCATGTGCCTAATGGTAGATTTAGACAAAAAAAAAAACAAGTATTTGAATATGAATTTGAATTCACCAATGATAGAGAATTAGAAATTATTTTTGATAATCTTCTGAATTATTCAAACCTACTAGCTCAAAAATGCATTTCTCTTAAAGGAGAACTTTTGATTACTCAAAATGAAAATGAGAGGCTCTCCTTAGATAATGAAATTATGAATAAAATAAACATATGTGTGAGAGATACTTACTTTAGTATGTCTGAACAATTAAAGAAGATCATCAAGGAAATGAATATTTTCATCAAATAGAAAATGAAAATAGATTTATCAAAAATAAAGTTGAAACATTAACTAGTGATCTATCAAACTTTGTGAATAGAAAGAAAAATATTGATAGATTAATTGGTGATCAAAAACAATTTCATGACAAAACTAGTTTAAAGTTAGTCATATGACTACTTTTCCATTTTTAGATTGTTCCATCAAAATATTATATATACACGAAGGCTAGCATGGGAAATTAATCCAAGTCTACCATAATGGAAAACAAATATTGTCCATTAGATATACTATTTTTTTTTAATCAAAGGTTGAGCTTTTTATATTTTTCTTTCTTTTTCCCTCTTTCCTTATTTATCCCTAATTCATCTTTCTCTTTCATTGTCTTTTTCCTTTCCTTATCCATTAAGGCTTTTCGCCTTCTTTGCCCACGATATTTAACCCTTTACCTCATACAAATTCATTTGAGACTAACCCACACAACAATCAATTGTCATGTATTGTTAGACTCAACTTTAGCTCATGATCCCTCAACACACCATCTTCTTCCTTTTTTTATTCTACTCTTCATATTATCTTCATCTTTTTCACCATAATGATGGAAAATCCTATAGAGAGAAATGAAGAATTTTCCATAGCTTATCCTAGCTTCTTCAATCATCATTCATGGCTCCAAATATCAAAGAAATCAAACAAATATGGAAGAGGAAAAGAGTGTTAGGCGTGCCACTTCAAAGTGGAAGATAAGTAAGAGAATTTGAACTTATCTAAAAAAGGAATTCCTTGATAAAAAGTTCTTAAGGAGAGAAATTCTCCAAGGAGGGAACTAGAGACTTTGAAGAGAGAATTTTGGAAATTCAATTCTCATTCAACACTCAAAGTGATGAAATATACATAAGGAAATCCTATATATAGATATTGGTAGCTTGCGGTGCAAGTTAAGTTAACCAAGGTTAGTTGTAATCAAGATTAGGTTAACTTGTACTCAAGCCAACTAACTCTAGTTTAATTTTGAAATTCAAAATTTGAATTTTTCTCCTAAAAATTTCAGCATCCTAGATCTAAAAGAAAGAATAAGAGTTTGTCTCATGACAAGGTGAAAAAGGTGTGATGGAGTGTGTTAGTAAAAAATGAGTGTAGAAGCAAGCATGTCAAAAGTGTGACTAGTGTATTAAACATGTAACTCGGTAGGTGATGTTTAAACCAATGAGAAAGTGTATGGGACAATATTTTCGTCCACCATGATAGAGATACGACTCTTCACTCTCTCATGGGCTAAATAAATCCAATTAGTAATATGTCAAACACTAGTTGCAAATGCTCCCTACCCCCCCCCCCCCCCCCCCCCCCCA